ACATCTATGTATCCGAAATGGGATCCCTATCTTTCGACTCTAGAAAAACGTTAGCAAAACCCACTCAAACCCATCCATTCGTCGTGCAAATGACGTTAGTGCCAAATCAGGTTTTGCACGTGCAGTCGATCACGTGATCTTCGCATCGAAGTTTTCTTCATATGCACGTGTTTGCATTGGCCTCAAGAATTGAAAAAACACTTTTAAACCACAGTTCTAACGGTACTTGAAATGCAACGATTGTCAAATGTGCAACGTGAACGTGCCGTTGGCATGTTGCAAGCGGGAAGATCAGTTATTGACGTCGCAAGAGCAATGGGATGCAGCCGTCGTACTGTGTATGATTTGCGAGGTCGTCTACAACAAACTGGCACCACTTCTGATCGCCCAAGGTCGGGTCGTCCACGTGTGACGTCACGAGCAGAAGACCGTCAAATCGTCCTACGTCACCTACGTGACAGATTTCTGCCGACTACACAAACCAGGGCTGAGATGTTTAGAGGTTGACTGTCCTCACAGACCATTCGAAATCGGTTGTGGTCTGCCAATCTCGATTCTCGACGTCCATATCGTGGGCCAATATTGACACTGATTCATCAACGTCAACGTCTGTTGTGGGCCCAACGTCACCTCCGATGGACTCAGAGAGACTGGAATCGAGTCGTCTTTAGCGATGAATCCAGGTTTACCCTCAGATTCGCGGACGGCAGGCATAGAGTCTTGAGACGACGTCGTGAATGGTATGCCCAATGTTGTGTACAGGAAGTCGACATATTCGGGGGCGGAAGTTGCATGGTGTGGCGTGCTTTCTGTTGGAACAACCGTTCCCGACTTCTGATCATCCGTGGAAACCTCACAGCTGCTGCTTACCGCGACCAGGTGCTCACCCCTGAACTCGTTCCTTTCATGGTTGCTCATGGCCCAGGTCTACAGTTCCAGCATGAAAATGCTCGGCCGCATACCGCGATGTTGACACGAAATTTCCTTCAAAACGCTGGAATCAACGTCATGGACTGGCCATCGAGGTCCCCTGACCGTAATCCAATACAGCACGTTTGGGATGCACTTGGGAAAAGGCTTCGTGGTCTTAGGAACCAACCTCAGAATTTGCAGGAACTTGGCGCTGCCTTGCAAGAGCAATGGCGCAGAATCCCCAACCACGTGTTCACAAGCATCAGGCAGTCGATGAGGAGACTTTGTTTGGCAGTGGTGAATGCGCGGGGCGGCCATACACGATATTGAACTGAGACATTTCGCATTTTTATTCTTGTGACTTGACATTCTGTAGACCCATGTTTTGGAACGGCGTTGTAGCCTAATGGAACTGATTATGGCACTGTCAGTGTATCGAGTACATCACACAGATCTCAGCAATGAAATAATTACAATTTCACCATCTTACCATCTCTTGTTCTTTTAAAGTGCCCTGAAGAAAGAATGTGAAGTTTCTTTTTTGTATCAGTATATATTGGTGGCTTTGACCTTGTTTCAAGCATTTAACTCTGCACTCCAGATTTTCTTTAAGCGAGATTTTTACTCGGCCCGAAGTTTTTCTTGATTCTAGGCATTCTGGAACTTGTCTCGAGCTTGCATTCCAAGATAGGTGTAGGCCTGATCTTCCGCAAGATGCTCAATAACTCCTGCCCCCTGTAACTTGACCGATCCATCATTAACTACCTTGCAACGTTTCAGATTACATTTGTCGAGTCCAAATGTCATGCCAATATCATGAGAAAAGGACTCGACAAGGAGAACCTGTTCTTTCAAATTGGTATCTCCTTTGGCAAGGAGCTCGATGACCATCTCCATGTAAAGGAGATGAGTAAGCGATGTTGGGGATCTGTGCTGAGGAAGTCCGGGTTGGTAACCCTCCCATCTATTGAGCAGAAAGCCCAAAGGATTTAGAGACAAACAAACGCAAAGGACTGAAGGAGCCCCCCCACACACAACCACCCAACCCACCCCACCCACCCCGACCCTCCCGGAAACATCCCCCTTCTGATTGGAATAGATTCCCAAGTCTGCACCTGCCCTTGCAAGCACATCTCAAGTTAAGTCGACCAGCAACTCATTAAAGACTTGAGTAAATCAAGTAGTCGCTCAGGGAGGTCAATACAACGAAGATACTTCAGAATCCATTCATGAGGGACAGAGTCGTATGCTTTCTTGTAGTCAATCCGGCACATGGAGAGTTTGTTATTATTATAGGATATTTATATAGTGCACATATCCATATTTGATTATAAACGTTGTTTATGCTTCAAAGGTGCCAACATTAAGGTTTGGGGTCAAAACAGCATCACTCACTTTGCCATCAAGTTCTAAACATTATTAGCCAAGCCTGATTAGTTTTATCTTGGGACATTTTGTACTTTCACATTTCCTTGGATGTGTTAAATTATTATGGCAAACTTTTTATGTTTAAGATGGCTGACCAGATATGGCTAAACATGCTCAAACTTATTTCAAACATGTCTTTGAGCCAATGCTCTAAGATTGTGTTTAAGGCCCACGAACTTTATTGCCAATATAAGGTCAAAATGACAAAAATCTAAGAACAACGTAGTTTCTGGTGCGAAATTTGAAATTTTGAATTTTGAACCTTTGACCTTAAAGATGCTTAAACACATGTATTCAGAAGCTCATGTAACCTTTCTTGGAAATCAATATCTAGTTGCACGAGGACAAGATATATTTTTTTGTTTTACAATTAAAATGCATGGTAACCATGGAATCCGAATCCCATGTGTCCTAATATATGTTGGTCTGAAATTCACTTTTGCTGAAAGTAGGTGTCTCATGATACCAATGGTGTTATTCTAGTGGTGCACTCAGCGCACATGTAAGCACATACTGATTACCTGGCGTAGTGTTTTATTCAAATCACCAACATAATCAATGATGATCCTCGCTGAATGTCGTTCCAAGAGGCTGCTAACAGTTTCTGATGAAGTTTACCATTCATGCCAGATGTCACAAACTTCGGTAATAAATTCGGCCAATGTAAGATGTAGAATAGAATCAGTTCATGTTCAACAAGAACATCTGCCTCCATTTCCTGTTCAAAATGCTATCAGCGTGCCAGCTTCATTTAAATAGAGTGCACAGTTAGCACGAAATGTGAGTTCTAGTTTAGCCTTAATTCAGTAAACTGATCAAGAAACTGTTGTAATTTATCAGACACCAAAAATGGTCAGTATTTTGAGTAATTCGCCTTGAAAATGTAGACAGGTAAAGAAAATAATATATAAGACTGCCTGCTAAATCGTAATTGGTATCATGGAGAATAAGCTGATGGCTCCCAACAAGGAAACAAATTATCAGCCAAAAGCAGAGGTTGGAGAGCACTGTTATCAGTCAAAACGGTAATGGACTTAAACTTGGGACAGTCACCAGTAGCTGACAGGAAAACTTTACAAGCAAAGGTACATACTCCTCTCCTCACAACCAATCGACTTTAGCCGAACCACAAAAAGGCTGCAATGTGCTATTCCATAAAACATTAGGGAACCAATATTTGCTTAAAGAGCAAATGTAACACACGCAGATATGTCTATAGCCCTTGAGTGTTTTATGTCACAAGTTCTGTTCACATCTAAAAGACTTGCCGGGGAAGTTTCATGTGCTTAACGAAAAAAGACAGGAAGGAAACAGGAAGGAAAGCACAGGAATTTGACTTGCCAACGCAGGAAGGAAACAATAACTTTGATGTCATTTTCCTCTTCCCAATCATTCCTCATAATCGAGTCAAGACCTGTAATAGGGAGAGTTTCTCTCACAACAGTTGACTGATGACTGTTCTGCCAAAGTTAACTTCTCATTAGCCGAACCACAACTATGGTGTGATTACTGTAACATTTGACCAGCTTAAGTAGCAATACACATAACTGTCAATTAATTTCAAACACAGTGGCAAGTTGCCTGTTGGCAATGACATGATCTTCGAGACACCCTTTTCAACAAATAAGGGTATTCTCAAAGACAAACTTTATTGTGACAACAAACAGAATCAGTGTTAAACTTTTATTGCCGCAAATGAAATGTTATTACATGGAAAGACAATTGTTTCAAATGGTGACGATCAGCCGTCCATAGACACAGTGATCCTGGCATATGCAAATGAGCCACAAAACAAAAAGGGTTTACAAACATGTTTACAGGGTCAGCTTAGACTGTGTCTTTCATGTGTATTGATGTAGGACTGAAAGCTTCGCCTCATTGAGAACACTAAACGTGGAAGACGGCCCTGGGAAAGATGATTTCCAGCAGTGTTGTTTCAAGATTTGATGACGTAAACGTCTCTCCATTTCACCCCAGACGTGTTGAATGGGCGACAAATCAGGGATGTTGCGGGCCAAGGTAACACATTAACATTGTTCTAATTAAGATCCTGCTGAATAATTCGACCAGCGTGTGGTTTGGCGATATCGCTCCCGCAGGATACATTTCTCTTGCAAGGTTTGGTCCGAGTTGTAAGCATTTGCTGCAAGGAACGTGTGGTTCGTATTGTTTGTTTGTTGCTTAACGCCGCACTAAGCAATGTTCCTGTTGTATGGCGGCGGTCTCCAAATAATCGAGTCTGGAGCAGTCAAATACGTCAGCGAGCCTGACCACCCGACCCTGTCATCGCCTCTTAAGACAAGCTGGGATGCTGTAGACCATTCTAACCCGGATCTTCACGGGCATCGGTCATGACCTTATCAGTCTTGACTCGGGGTCATTACTGGTGGGCGGCCACTACAAGGACGGTCTAAAACTTGATTGTTTTACGGAAAACGTATCAAATGGTGTTTCTATGTTTCACGCTGCGATGAACAAGACTGAATCGTACATGCAACTCTCCATCTATCATTTTCCGCTAGCTCTGGCATGAACGTGCCCAAAAACAAACATACATTCCATTAACAACGTCACGTGCTGGCGGAGCTATTTCGTGCCACTAGCTAGACGGTAATTGTCATTGTGACAGTATCAAGTGTCCAAGGTTGAAGTCACTTTACCCAGACCTTTGGACGCTGAACTCGACAAGGATCACCAGAAGTACTACTACCAAGAGGAGAAAGTGTATCTTCATTCTACACTAGCTGCTCAGAACACCTCTGATACGTCTGACTCCAATCCTGTTCTGTCACCAGGATGTCTCATACAGAGTGCATGTACACCGACTATAGGGAGCAGAGTGTGTGGGTAGCTATATGAAGCTCCACAATCCAGGAGGTAAATTTGAATCTTTCGCGTTGTGATTTGTCGCACTGCTTCAGTTTAACAGGTTACGGGCACACGTACATTGCAGACGCGCTTATCCAATAAGAGGGCGTCATTTAATCAGCGAGAATATTTTAGAACCACACTGCTGTAAGTGGGGCGCGGTTTGCATTGTATACACAAGTTAATAGTATCGCAACACCTGTGATTTTTAACCATGGTATATCAATTTTTATTACCTAAAATATCGGGGTTCATATTTATCATACGATGCCCAAGGGCAAAGTGCCACTTTGTCATGACGATGTGACGTCATGAACAATGCTAGGACGTCACATTTCTTCTATGACGTTGCGACGACGGCGGGTAGCTTGTATATCTTTGAAAGTAGAATTAGATATATTTTCCTTCATGTGACGACTTCGGTAATAAATAGAATATGATATTCATGTCCATATCATACTATGTTTACGACACTCGTGTCTAAATATCGGTATATCCCTCGTAGGAAATACCAACATATAGACACTCGTGTCATAATAGCATGACAGGGGCACTCAGTATTCTCTGTATATTCATAGCTTTTTTGTATGATCATTTTGGTCCTTCCGGGGAAACATACATTGATATTTTTAGATATGCCCATATTACGGTCAAAGACGAGCATCACGAACGTGCACCAGTCACTTATCTTATATCAAGTTTCAGTACACTGTTCTTCCAGCTTGATAACATGGAAACATCAATAGATTAGTATGTTGATGAGTGAAAATGATCGCACTTGTTTGAGTCACATGACCAAAGTTATCTGCACTACAAAATGAGAACCTGTTTGCCATTTTGGCTTCATCTCTGAATATACTACAGAATGTTCGTTCATTTTGCTCTTAAATTTCTCATTAAATTATTTAGTGAGGATCAATTTATCCACATAGTAAGTGTGTATGTATGTAACATATTACTTCGGCAAAAACTCGCAGTTGATGTTATTATCAAATGTATATATGATATCATCCAATGTGTTCAATATTCAGCACTAAGAGTATTGAATTTGACTTTGTGACAAGGCATAACAGACACCGTGCCATAACAATGATCTAACTGAATGCCATAGCTGACATGAGGAAAGTTTCTATTTTTCAGAGGCAATTGAAATGTTAATGTGTAGTCGGGGCTATACCAGGTTATACAGACGGGGTGTAGTGTATGGTTGTGGATGACACCTACGTCCAAAGCAGAAATTATATATAACTACATATATGGCAATATATGTCCATACTATGGTGTCAAGCCAACACAGATTGCATCACCAAGGTCGCAGACATACAACATACCCCGTCCTTATAAGGCAAAGCTGAATGTACCATGCATTTGTTTCCTAATACCGTCAATATTATCTTCATGTTGGACAATTCTCCCTGTGAATGACACATTCCTCATTGAGAGTGGTGAGGTTGTAGTCACAATCTTACAGTGGATTCTTTTGTTAATGGAGAAACAATAGGAGTAATAGATTCTACTTCAGGAATCTAGATTTCAGGGTTTTCCAGGGTAATAGTAAGACGTCGACGAAAGAACATAGCAAGTCTTCAAAGGCATTTAGAAGTTGGTGTATTAGTACAAGAAAGATGTTATAGATAACTTCTTTATTTGTTTGTCACGATGTTTATGGGCTAGTTCTTGCCCCTTCCTGAGGTGGATGATGACTATAGTGTACAGTACAGTATACATATATTGATGTACAGGAAGACAGAGATGTAATTAAATATATTCAAACACCAAGGAAGAACGATGATTATCCACCTGAGGAAGGGACATGAACTAGCCCAGACAAACAAATAAAGAAGTTGTTATCCATAACATTTGTCTTGCATCGTCTTTATTCGTCGGAACAAATTGGGGCACAACTGCTCCAGTGATTGAAATCATGAGGATCGTCCTGCCCGGTTGGGATATGATGACACATGTCAGCGAGCCTGACCACCCGGTCCCGTTAGTCTCCTTTTACTACCAACATGGGTTGCTGAACACCGATTATAACCCGGATCTTAACAAATTTATTTCTCTTTACATTTCAAGAGCGATGAAATGACCTATATTGTTCAGATTCTAGCGAACACAATAGACCTAATGGCCGACCGTTTGATATTCGGAGATAATTTATGTCTTATCTCATACAAGCTCCAAACAACCTCTAAGTCGCCTCCATCCGTCTGCTTGTTTAATTTACTCCATATACGAAGCTTTGATTTTATCTTTTTGTCCCAGGTATGTTCTTTTGCTTCTTCTTTCTTCTCCCTCAAGTTTGTAGGTACCCGTGATGATCCGGGTTAGAATATAGATCTTCTGTAACCCATGCTTGTCGTAAGAGGCGACTAACGGTATCGGGTGGTCAGGCTCGCTGACTTGGTTGACACATGTCATCGGTTCCAATTGTGCAGATCGATGCCCTGGTCCAGGTTCAATTATTTACAAACAGCCGCCATATAGCTGGAATATTGCTGAGTGCGGCGTAAAACTAAACCCACTCACCCCTCAAGTTTGTAAGGGCTGATTGCCAGTTCATTCTGTATATAAGTTAAAAATTGTGTTTCATTTTCCTTGTCCAGGTTTTTCAGGGGACTTTCCCCCTTGTATTGACACAGAGGATAAAGTTGACTGCGTTGTTATCTATGCCGACGACAGAGGTAGATAAGCTAACAATACAACGGGAATTTCAAAATTCATTAACAAATTGAGAAATTCAAATATAATGTCCGTGACTAGCTTTATAATATCCTCATCGTCATGCGTGTTTTACCTGGGCAGTTTCGCTGTATTTTAGGAGTTTCTCAGCACGATATAATGTTGGCGTACTCAGTACTTAGCTAAAACCTCTTTAAACTCATACAGTGTATTTCTGTTGAATTCTGATTTATGTAGTATAGATCTCATTACAATACATTGACGATATTATGTTAAGCTCGTTTAACATCAAGTGTTTTTACTAATAGTATTTGAAGCTAGCTTCTTTGAAACGTATTGTATTGGCATCTATTGTTAAAATGTTCTAGATTTAATTACTAGTTTTAAATTCCTATCTGTGATAATCTGGTTATTTTACTGCCCTTCGTTGACAGTTTCTTATAATTTACCGTTAATACCTATGTATAACAATTGATTGTTCTACGATATGGCTGAAATATTGCCGATGTGAGGAAAATATTTATCTACCTCACTCACTCACTCTTTGAAATGTAACACATCTAATATACACAAATAACTTAGTTAAGCACCCTATGACATATTTAACGACTGAATGAGCTCCGACCTTTACCCTTTGGAGCATATCTGGGACATGATTGGTCGTGTGCAGCAAAGGGATCCTCCTATACAGAACCTGGCCCAAATGGAAGCTGTTTTACACGAGGAATGGCGTAGACTACCCCTTCAGTGGATCAGGAAGCTGACAAGGGGTATGAAGAGGAGAGTGCTATCTGTCCTACAGTCACATGGAGGTTACACTCGGTACTGACACGCAAAATGATGAATGTTCACATTCACCAATAAATTCAACATTAAACATTCCAGGGCCATACTTGAACAGACATGGTTTTGTATGAAAATCAGTCGGGTTTTATTTAAATGAGCAATTATCATCATAAAATCAACATGGATTCCAATCATTTTGTCGTTTTTTATGAATCTAAAGATTATACGGGTCAGAAAAACTCCATCGTGGTAACCCCGACAGGTTTTATGTACGCGTTGAAAACCTATCACTACAAAATTACAGAAGGTGCTTAATTCAGTTCTTTGTGTATATTTGGGATAACACTTTCTCGGTAAGCTGTATCCTCAAAGGGGGTTAAAGTACTGTAAAATTATTGTCCTCCTGAGAGGTACGTAAATCCCAAAACGTTCAAAGTAAATTTAAACTTACTACTCTTTTAATCGCAGTATATATGTCATTTTAATTTATAGCTAGATTGTCTAAAATTGCTAATAGCTGAAGGGGTGGTGTAAATCCAGCTAGGGTCCAAGCATGAAGAAAATGTACTGTAAGTCCCCATGGTCCCTAGTATGGTGATCTACCTTCAGCTGTTGGCAATCTATAGCCTGTTTTTATATTGTATTGTCTTTCATAGTTAAGATGTTTAGATTTTCATACTAGTTTTACATTTATAACTGTGATATTCTAGTTATTTTACTTCCTTTGCAGACAGGTAAGTATATTATATGAATTTATGTTTATTCATTTATAAATTTACAACTTTCTTAGATACGATATGGCTAAAAATACTGCCGATGTGACTTTAAATTTTAAGTCACTCATTCACTTTCTCGGTAATTTGGTCGAGTCTCGCTCGGGATTCGAACCAACATTCTCAGATTCAGGCGCCTAATCGCCAGCACACAAGGTCAATTATCCAAACCACTCAGCCAACATGGCTTCCGCAAAACTAGAAGTAGGAAGACTGGTAGTCATTGCCTTTGTGTACACCTCTGATATGGGTTCTTTGGAAATTGTTATCTGAATTGCCACCCTGTCTTCTCGTCTCATCCATCTCTTTCCCTCCCTTCTCTGTCAGTCAGCATCTTTGAGTTCTCGCCATAATATCTATCTCCCACATATTAGAGCTATCACAACTGAATCTCATAAACCGGAGTGTTCTTAGCCGGCTACAGTCCCTGTTGCAAACTGAGTATCAATGTTATTAGGTATTGTGTGTTTAAAGGCCTCGTATCAATAGGGGAAGTGTTACGGTGTCTATACATGTATATCAAGTGAATATTCAACTGCAGTACTTTCCTTATTTGAGGTACATGTATTTCCCTGCATGTCAGTGGGGAAATTGGATCCTACGAGTGAAGTGGGAAGGAGGAAAG